CTTCCTATGCACGAAATTGTCCAAATTGCGGAAAAAATCGTTAATTGGAGCTAGGTCAGGCGAACATAAATGATGATGGATGGTTTCTTACTGCAGATCATGAACCGTGAAAATAGATTTTCGAGAAAGTGTAAGAGAGAGGGAGAGAGAGAGATCCCGATTGACGAGTAGGAGTTGTTCTAAGAGGGTTCTGACATCATTGTTCAAGTTATTTACAATAGATATCTGCTGTTGTTGACGCACCGGTTCCCAAAAAGCTATTCGAAGTGACAACCAAATAGTTAACATATTTTTACTAAATACTTTTTCATGGGCGAGCTTTGCTTAAGGGAATCGTTCCAGTATTTGACCCGGGTTCAGCTTTTGTTTTTTTCGTTCGAGATTAGGGAAGAAACTTTTAATAACATGTCACCATTCTGTTGAAATCCCCTCTAATATGTACTTACTCATATACGAATAAACAATGCGGAAATAATGAGGTGCTACTATCTGCTTGGGATCCCATAATTATGAAATTAAATTTAAACTTACAACTAAAAGACTTCACGATGTAAGCTCGTTCTACGAAGATCTTTTAACAATTAAAAATTGAAAGAAGCCTTCGTTAACTGTGACATTCGGATTTTTAACACTTCAGCCCCCCTCCTCGTAAAACTAGTTTTATTTAATTTATACATAATGCATTAATAATAGGAATATATCAACAAAAACCACTAATTAATAATAGGAATATATATTGGGGAAATCCTGGTGTCGGTCGGATTGGCTCGCAGAACTATTTTGGATATTTTTCTGATTTAGTGCAAATTGGACAAAATTTAGAGAAAAAAAGTCTTTTTAATGCTAAAGGCCATTTATGGCATCTACACAAAATTATATGCATAATTTTAGAAGATAATATTGTTCGATAAATTTTAGGTTGTTGATATAAACAGTAGATGTAGTAAGTTTATTCACATAATTTTTTTATAAAAGAGGGGCAAACGAGCATGCGGCTCACCTGATGTTAAGTGACTACCGCCGCCCATGATCAACCGCAACACCAGGGGAACTGCAGGTGCGTTGCCGGCCTTTTAGAAAGGAGTAAGCTCTTTTCTTGAAGGTCCCCAGGTCGTGTCGGTCCGGAAAAATCGCCGGTGGTAAACTATTCCACAGAGAGGTTGTACGCGGAAGAAAACTCCTTTTGAAACGTACAGTGGTGGACCGCCAAGCATCCAGATGGTGTGGATGGTATCGGGACGTTTGCCGCATAGTGCGTTCACGAACTTTGGCGGCTGGGATTAATCCGAACAATTCCTCAGAGAACTCTCCACGGTATATGCGAAAGAAAATGCAGAGATGTGCAACATCTCTTCGCAGTGCCAGTGAATTGAGCCGATCGGAAAGCACTCGGTCGTCGACGTTTCGAGCCGCTCTGCGCTGGATGCGGTCAAGTGGAAGGAGCTGGTACTAGGGAGCCCCAGCCCAGAAATTTCATTTTGTTCACCACCGATGTGCATAGCTTGCGTATATCAACGATTAAAAGCAATAGCTTATAAAAATTAATGTAAGAAAAATCTTAAGATGAATTTGTTGAGATATTTACGCTGTATCTCCATTTTCCAGCCGTCTTCTCGAGTAGTGTGCGATATTTTTGGTTTAACTGTCCTGCGTGATAAAACTCTCCCTGCGTCTTCTATCGCTGGCACAAAAGTTAGAACGCTTATTGTGATATTTCTATCCATCGAAGTCTGTTAAATAATGACGAAATTATTGTTTTGTTAACAAAGACGTATTAAGGATAGACGGGTTACACACTAACATTATTGTATTTTAAAGTGGCTCAAGTAGTACCATATCTACGTATATTTATTAGGACACGGTAAGCTGACAAAAAAGAGACAAATGATGATGATAGAAAAAGATAAATATACATTATTAGTTACCCATTGATTGCTGCTAAGCGGTCATTGGCGCGAGCGCGTGACTTACCGATACGGAGGAGAATAGGGACGATATTCAAACGAAATTACTTTAAATTATTTAACTAAAAAAATATTATATATATATATATATATATATATATATATATATATATATATATATATATATATATATATATATAGTTATAGAAGCCATATTTAGCATCCAGGTTTACAACCTAGAATTACAAAAAAAATGTATAGATACGTCGTATTCGCTCTAGAAAGGCAATACCAAAGTCAGGTAATTGCCCGACTCGCATTCAGTCGGGCACGCTCTCGCGTCACTTCGCTACAGAGCGTAAATCTTCCAGTTATTAGTGACAAAAACGCCTTCCTGTATTTTTGGTCGTGCACAAATTATACGGCAAGTGTTATATATATATATATATATATATATATATATATATATATATATATATATATATATACAAATGACCTCCCTACGACTCAATCTAGGTTCAACAATAGACATGTGATAAGCTATAATGGGTAAAGTTTTCAAAGACACTTAATATAAGTGACCAACAATTACTATAATAGCTGAAAATACTCATATATATCTCACAATCCTGTTAACCACTCCAACTAAGCTTAAAAGCTTATAGTAGTTGCGGTTTACGACGGTAGTTGAATCTGTGGCATTTACTGTCACGAATCAAACTCCTGCCCATTACGCATTTGGCATTTTTCCAAATAAAGTACAAACTATCTTACAAAGTATTTGTTGAAAATATTTATACATCACATATTAAGTTTTATCTTTAAAATAAAATGCTTCGGCTAGTTTTGGTTCGAACTTAAAAAAGAAATTATTATCTTTCATAATATTTTTTCGTTTTGACGAATTTAAACATGGGCTGTTCAAACAACAATAAAGATACAATACAAGATGGTCGACATGGATAAAGTAATATCTTTTGCTAAATAAATGTAAAAAAACACGCAGGAAGTCAATAGCAGCAGGTGGCTCAGGACCTTGTTTTGTGGCATTCCTTGTGGGAGAATGTCGAGCGGTGGACTTGGGATATGCTGTCATTACAGTGTAAATGGTAAATATAGAACAGTTCATGCAGTAAGTCGTTTAATGCTAAATTACAAATAGCACAAATTGTTTATAAATATTTTCATTTGGCAGGATCCTGACACACCTCTCCTCTCGCCTCTTTTACGTACAGAAATAGGAATAGAAACTTTTTTTATTCAATTAAATTATAAATAATACTTATTGAAATTCACTGTTTTGTTTAATTACCATTGGTTCGGAAAAAACTTCTGTCCTGGGATGAACCGGCAAGAAACCCAGGGGGACTTTAAAAAAACAGCTTACAATTATGTATGTTACCCAATTAATTAACACAAAACAAATTAGAAATACCTTGGTACTTATTTCTACGTATACATATTCGTTGGTTAAGAGCGAGGCCCCATTAGTGCGTTGCGCTGCGTTGCGTCGTCGCAGCGTCGTCGCTGCGTCGTTTTCCATACATTTTTTATGACATGCCCCATTAGACCGTTGCGTCGTCGCACACGACGTTTCAACGGATCGACGGACAAGAGACGAAGCGGGAGGGAGGGTGATGCGCTGCGTTGTCGGAGCTCCGCTGCGACGACGGACAGTGATGCACTGCTAGAGGAAGAAGCTAGACGAACGTAACGACATTTTTATCTTACCATGAGTGAGCAGGATATTGATATAGATTTTCTCATATCCTTGGTCCAAGAAAGACCCATTATATGAGATAAATCACACGAACATTACAGTGATAAATTTCGTAAAGCGAATGAATGGGTAGCTGTTTGTAAAAAATATTTCAAGATTACGAGGAGTTTGAGGATCAAAAAAAGAACAAGATTGGTGAGTCGTTATTTATTATATTATTTGTAAATTCAATACATAAGTTAATTTATATCTTTTTGAACTGCCATGGTAAAGCCCCTTCTGGACTCATAAAGTAATTAGCAAATTGATCTCTGATAAAATTTTCGGCTAATGTTTCCTCATTGCTATGGGGTCTCCATTGTGGGAACCTACTTATTGCCATATTGTCTTGTTGTTTTAACCCATCGTGTTGTATAACAAAACTGTGTAAAACAAAACATGTTTTCGCAATATTAATATTTAAATCATATGACGTATCAATTGGCCTATGTAAAATGCGCCATTTACATATTTGCCATGATCCCAAATGCACATTCCACGTATCCACGAGCTCTGCTGAGGCGATAATTGTAAACTCTTTGTTTCACATTGAGATTGGATCCACCGTATGGGCGCATAACATGCTTACTTAAACCAAAAGCTTCATCACCGACGAGTACATAAGAGATTGGTGGCTCGTTATTATGATCATTTCCAAGTGGTTGAGGATCAGGCAATGGTAATTCATTTCTCATTAAAATCTTGTACAGTGTCGAATTTTTTAAAAATAGTAGACTCACTTTCCTTACCATATGCACCCACGTCGACAAAGACAAACTTATAATTTGAGTCAAGAACCGCCAGCAAAACAATTGAAAAATAATTTTTATAATTATAAAACAGAGAGCCACTTTTGTCTGGTTTTATTAAACGTATATGTTTTCCAACAATTGCCCCGAAGCAATGAGGAAAGTTAGCTTTGGGATCAAAATCTAATGCAATATTTTGTAGCTTTTCTACTGTGATCTCTTCTATGTACTGTGGTCGAACATATTTCCATATAGCTTGACAAACTGACGAAATAGTTCTAGAAATTGTTGCTCTTCCACGTTTAAATTTGAAATGCAAGGCGTTTATCGAATTTCCGCTGCCTAAGTACCTGATATAGAAACACAAAAAATAAACAGGGTGGCCCATTTAGATTGGTCAGTGTAGACAAGTTAGGTACTTACACATTTTTTTCTTTCTTTGCAGGTAACGAGTTTGTGAAAAAATGGAGAAGCGTGAAAAGGACAACTTTTTTCGATACGTAAAAAAAAATAAAAGAAAACAGTTCGTCTGGATCAGGGGCAAAACAATTGAAAAAATATCACTATTATAATCAGTTGCTGTTTTTGATGAAAGTTGCCCAAAATAAAACTGACAGTAGCCTTGAAATGGTGTCTGAAGAAACGGAACGAAATGAAAACACAGCATCATCTTCTCCATTTCCTACAAATCAAATGTCCTCCTTACCCCCAGGTCCTTCTCGCTACGTGCCTGCAAGCCTTAAGAGATCAAACCAAGCAATAGATTATCTCGAGGCGCAAGCATTAGAAGCGTTGCAAGAGAAAGAAAACCGCCACTTATCATTTTTCAAAGGAATTTTGCCTTCTTTGGACAGCTTTACGGAATTACAAACTTTGACATTCCAAAGCAAAGTTATAAATATCATTACCGAAATTCGGTTCGGGGAACAGACTTAATCAACAACATGGCAGTCACGCGGATATCAAACTGGACAACAATATCAAGCAACACCATTGCAGTCACGCGTATATCAAACTGGACAACATGCCCAGTCACCATCGCCATCGTCGTATCGAACAGATGAATTCGAATCTACCCACTCAACCAACACTACGATTAATAATTTTACTGATGATAGTCAAGAAGAAGATTATAACTTTGCTTCGTTGCCTAATAGTAATACTTAAATTATACTGTTTTTAAAGATAATAAATTAATAACTGATTAACATTACGAGTATTATGATATTTGAATTACTTACCTCAATGTAATACCAATCATTTCAATTGGTTCTAAAGGGTTCCTGAATTTGATATACTGCTTTTTTATATGTGGTTTTAAGGTTTCAACCAAATTATTAAAGCTGGCGACACTCATTCTAAAAAAATTGAAAAAAGTCTTTTCATCTAATAACAACTCCCTATATTCCTGCATAAAAAACTGACCATCACTATTTCTTAATGCTATCAAAGGAGATATCCAGAATCTTCTATGATTTCTACGTTTATTTCGGCGGTGCCGTAATAAAAGCAACAAAAGAACACGTTTGTATCTATCCATTGCAAAGGCTGAACTGAGACGCAGCTGCGTCGGCGTGCATACCCTCTTGCGTTGCGAAGGCGCAGCGTCAACGCAACACATGTGTGGCATACCTACAATGCGTTGTTCCGTTGCGATGACGCGACGCAACGCAGCGCAACGCACTAATGGGGCCTCGCTCTAAGGGATCTCTTAACTCCTATTTGGCCTATCTTAAAGTTAAAAGTTAAAGTTACAGCCTATACGAGTTCTGTTAATGACTGTATATGAGTTTCTGAAAGGGTTTCACGGCAAGGTAATATCCGCCGCGTTGCCCCAATGCGTATTGGCGAACTTCACATGTCTTCGAAATGTTTGTTTCTTATTTCGCAGACATTCGGGTTTCTTTACGATGTATGGTATGGACGGAAAACGGACGCAGGTTGCTCGCGTACTGTGAAATTTACAGCATGCGCTTAGCCGCGAAGCTACCATTTTTTTAGAGCTTATTAATTATTTCGCCAATATGGTCGGTATACTTCCAACTTAGGCGCCCCTCGCTTACTCGGCCAATCGCTTCCACAACATAATATTATTTTATCACTCTTTCTATATCACCAAATCGCCGAAGCATTATTTCTTAATCCAGAACACAACATCTTGCAAACCACACTTTTCTCTCATCACACTACTTTTCACTATGTCATACAAAGTCACTCCTAACATACCGAATTACTACAGAATTAATTCTACTCCTGTGCTTCTTCTATCACACCCAACTTTTACTACCATAGGTACGTTCAGGTAAATACTAGCACAATATTGTGAATTGCCATAGTAATTGCTTTTAACAAACATCACAGTAATAATCACATTTATACCTAAAGTAATAGATAACAATTATTTTTTATACTTACAGAATCCCTTACAGTAGTTAACTTGGTTCCTCCTTTCCACCAAGATAAAACAGGTTTCAGCCTGGCCCCCACTACTTGACATGTTAATTCCGTACTTTGACCAGCCACTAAAGGTCGCTTCCCGCCTTATATTCGCACCGAAAGCGGAGGTACTGCAGACATATAAGGACTCATAAATTACCTACCAAGTGAATGGTTCAATATATTGTAAATAGCTTTTATTGGATAATGCGCAATAAGTAATTAATTACCAACCGATACTAAAATAAACGTTACAGAGTCACGCTACAGCGTACTGTGCTGCAGCATGAATAAATTGTCTCAATTATAGATTGGGGAAGGATCACGCTCGTACTAAATACAAGCATAACGCTAATATGTGCTCTGTACTGTATATGTATCTGCTAAACTGTGTGTTCGTTTTTCAGTCTTACTTCTTTATAGCAAATCTAACACCCTAATTTTTTTTTGTTACACATTGCGTTACTTCGATATTTTAGTAGGTAATATTTCTTTGAAATCCCTCCTAGTTGGACCAAGCGTGGCAAATTTATAAGTTACTGGTGTTAGGACAAAATAAAAATATTTCGAGATATCGCACAGTACAATACTCTTGGTGGTTTTGTTTTTAAACCATTTTTTTTAATTTTCGTTTTTAGAGACAATGATAATCATTCACAGTTTCAATGTGAGAATTGAAAAATTGTATTGAAGAAAGATATAGTTTCCAAAAAATCGTATCAAAATTTAGATATGCGATTAATTATTACCAAGAGTATTTTCATATATTGTAGTAAACACTGCAATTATTTCATCTCTAACGTATTTCCAGGAGCGTAACATCTTTCAGAGCATCTCTGATTTTTTTAAGTCAAGCTTACGAGGCCTGAAGGTATAGGAGATGTAATATCTTGTATAACTACTAACGCAAATTAGTGTATAAAATGGAAACGACTTACAATTCATATCAATCGAAAGTCGGTTAGATGACGGTGGATTGATGGATCCGTAACTGCCTGAAAAATAAAAACTAATTTATTTTCTATACAATTACAATATTTCAAAACGTAGAATTTAGATTTAAAAATTGTATCGAATTGAATAAAGGCTGATTAAATTACGAGTACATACAAACTCATCAATAGTGTTCATTTAGAGTTAAAATCTTCAGTTGCAATTTTTCCAATGAGGATTTTATAAAACACTGTAAATAAAAAAACAATAAACAGGAAAAATAAAACCTTATAAAATTATTATTGTAAATGAAAATCAAAAATGAAAATGAAAAATGTTTCCCCGGTCTGCGTATATTACAACTGACCTAGACGAGATGTGTATATATCGCGAAACGGATAAAATTATTTTAGCATACCTCTTCGTCACCTCTCAGGACAGACAAGGTACAAAATGGGCTGATGGTTTCTCCCACTCCAACACTACATGGCAGTTATAATTATTGGTAAATTATTTATATGTATTCATAATTTTACCTGACATGTGATGTCGGTACCGAAGTCAGGCCTGTGAAGTTTAAATGAGACTGTAGCTCTTGCTTCTGAGTTGGCTAGTAAATGTGACTTCCACCATGACACCCTTGCTATCGGACGACCTGTTTATAAAAGTCGATTTTTTATTAATATCACTATTCCCATACACCGTAAGATAAGTCGATAATAGAACATATTTTAGCGATGTTGATCTTCTTATAATTAAATTTAATTATAAAATCTACTATTAAAGGTATGCCTTTTTCTGCAGTGTAGTCTAGAGAGTAATATAAAATATTCTCTGTATATATCACCAAGTCATTCAGTTGGAATCAGTACGAGTCTGCCACTCAAGAATCTTTCTTATTGATAGATTCTCAGTTCTTCGAACTTTGTGGTCGGCTCACTACCACTTCAGCCTTCTGATCTATTAGACTATGCTAGTTACTGCAGTAATCTTGAGATCAAATTGTTATTATTACGTTAAACATAATCTAATGTACATGATGATATGAGATAATAAACCGGCGAAGTGCGTGTCGGAACACGCATAATGTAGGGTTCCGTAATTGCCCATCATAATACGTGAACAATGTACATGACCGTAACGAACTAAAGAACCTTCTCCTAAACCACCATTATCCCAAACTATCTAAACTAACTAACAAAACCATATACCTATAATAACTACAAACTAAAAATAATGTGATGTGGCATGTCACGATCGTTCTCTTGGTGATCGATGCAGATCGAGAAGTATCATCATCATCATCATCATTACAGCCCTTCACAAGTCAACTGCTGAATATAGGCCTCCCCCAAGGAACGCCGCAAAGCACGGTCCTTAGCTACCTGCATCCATCGACTTCCTGCATGTCTTACCAGGTCGTGACTCCATCTAGTGGGTGACACTCCGCCTACCGGTACGAGGCTGACACTCGAGAACATTTTTTCACTTTTTGAAGCATACACAAAAGTAATATACTTACTACTGTGTATACTTTTCACATTTCCAAGAACAACGGTTTAGTTAATAGGGGTACACAATGGTATACATGACTTACCTTAAAAATACCATTTTAAAACTAAATATTTTATTTAAAAATATTTTGTTCCATACCCCCAGTTGAAAGACTTATCCAACGTCACTCCACATGATGGAATATACGGGTAAAAAAAATCACCTGTATGAAAGGCGTCCAAAATAAAAATGTTTTCCAAGATTTTATTTTACAACTTTGTAGGCGTGATTTTCAGAGAGATTCAGCTTTGTAATACCTAGGGTCTCTGAGTAAAACCTTGGATGGACGGACTGACAAGGCGAAACAATAAGGGTTCCTTAAAAAACTTCGGTATACTTTTTTATAGAATAATGGTTATAAACGAGCACACAGTTCACCAGATTCTTAAGTGGAATGTGTGGCCCATAGACATCTACATTTATCCTCGATTAGGAATCAAAATGCATATGCGTTGCTACCCCTAAGCACTAAGATGGAATGCCTCGTTTCCTATAAAAAGGGTCTCCGGTTTTCTACACTCACCATACGAAACACAGCGGAATTGAGCTGCTATTTTACGCTTGTATTCTGTAAGAGCACGGTTCTTCCCCGATCGAGCCGACCCATACGTGCTATACCATAACATAGCTGCTGCATGGCTCTACTACATTTTAAAAAGAAACTAAACGGTGACTGATATTTATTTTGAGAGGAGATTATTATTTCCTATCGAGGTAAGCGAAACGGAAAAGTTTTATATGTAAGTTACTAATATTCGAGAAAACGATAAATCAAACTGCTTTAATTGAAATGAATTGTTGAATAAAAGCAACTCCTCCAAAGTTTTATTTATCGAATAAAAACTAATACATTACATTGGCATGAAAAACGTCAATTACCAACCACTAATGATATCATAAGTTTGGACGTAGCTGCATTCAGTTACATAACATGTAACATCAGTATTGTCAATTTATGACAATACGAATGTCCTTCAACGTGCGCACAATAGAATGAGATGATCTTTTTACCA